CACGTTCTGTCGGAGGCCGGCCATCGTTGGCCCCGGAAGAATTGCTCGCAGTGGTTGAGCCAATTCAGGGGGTCTTCCGAGCCGTCGTACGTTGCGAACTCGAGGCGATGCGTCTTGGGCGGCAAGCGGTCGAGACCGCCCCCCATGGCCTGCTGAGGGCGCTCGTAGGGACCCTCCTGGTCGGCCCCAGGTGGCACGGCCGCGTAGGCCGCCACAGAGGCGCTGGTGTCGTGGAACAGCGGCCCGTCCACGCCGCCGTACAGGATCCCTGCTGCATAGGGTCCCCCATGGGCGACCGTCGATGGAGCCTGAGGGATGGTGGACCGACGGCTGAACGGAAGTCGACGGCGACGGCATGGAGTCCGTAGGCATCCCGTAGGGGTAGGTGATTTGCGGCATCGAGACGGATGAGGGCAACGGCAGCGGCGGAGGAGGAGGATGTGACGGCTGTGGTGGTGGAACCACGTACTGGCCGCTCAGAAACGCCTTCATCATGTCCTGCAGCTCCTTCACGCCATGGCTGAGATTGACGATGGAGGTCGTCACCTCCTCGGCGTTAACACCCATGTGGCGCGATGGTGGTAAATCTGGCGATTGGGAGGGCGGCACCACCAGAACGCCCACCGTAGCAGGGGGCGCGGTGGAGGCGGTCGGCACCGGCGGGATCGCCGGCGATGGCGCGGCGGAGGAGACAGCGGAGGTGTCCATGATCGACAAGGTCTCTGGTACCAAGCTGATAGGAACCGAGGTTCCTCCTCTGACCGAGCGTAGGTTGTAGCGGTGGGTGATCGGGGGCTGAGGCTTAAACCGCGATGGACCACGGCGGGACGCCGTGATCTCGCGAAGGGAGAGGGTGGCGGCGCTACAGTACCGGCGCTACAGTGCCACGGTACTGTTCACGGAAGAGAGAAGGCGGCTAGGGTTTCTCCCGGCTCCCTGAGGAAGCCGGAAACAATAATTGTTTCTGCTTACTTTCCTCAATATAGTTTACAGGTATTTATATGTCTCTGAATAATAATAATAGAAAAATAACTCTAATATTATGTAAAATAAGATAAATATGGGCCTTGAGCCCCCTAACCCGCCGGCCTCCTCTAGCCACTACTGGGCCTTCGCCTGGAGTACTGGATGCCGGTCATAACAGATGCAGGCACAAAATTTTTTCATGCTCATGCAACAATCAGACACAGGAAGAACAACATCACCCTCTTTAAAAGATACCATGGGGAATGCCTTTCATGGGCATGAGCCAAAAGCTGAGCTTCTTTGGAATTCTTTCAAAGATAGAATGGGTCAGTCTGAGTTTAACCAGATGATATTCAGCCTTGATCAATTCCTGCAGCCAGCTTAGTGCCTTGAGAATTTAGAGATGCCCTTCTCTAAGAATGAAATTGATACAGTGGTGGCCAACCTCCCAAATAACAAATCCCCAGGTCCAGATGGATATAGCAATGAATTTATAAAGGGATGCTGTCCTCTTATAGCACCTGGCTTCTACAGACTATGTGATGAATTTCACAGGGGATGTCTGCCTGAGGAGCATCAACAATTCTTACATTGTGCTAATCCCAAAAAAGGATGGTCCTCAGAGTGTCTCTGACTATAGGCCAATTTCTTTGCTTAACTCCTCCATCAAGTTGATAACCAAATTACTGGCCAACAGATTACAACAACCTATCATGAGTCTTATTCACTGGAACCAGTATGGATTCATAAAAACCAGGACCATCCAGGACTGCTTGGCTTGGGTACTTGAGTACATACATGTGTGCCACAAATCTAAGAGGGACCTAATCATCTTAAAGCTTGACTTTGAAAAAGCTTTTGACAAGATTAAACATGAAGCAATTCTGGAGATCCTTAAGGCAAAGGGGTTTGGTCAGAAATGGATCAGTTGGGTAAAGTCAATTTTGAGTTCTGGAACTTCCTCAGTGTTGCTTAATAGAATCCTTGGTAAAGTGTTTTATTGTAAAAGAGGTGTTAGACAGGGGGACCCATTGTCCCCGCTACTGTTTGTGCTCACTGCTGACCTCTTGCAATCAGTGATCAATAAGGCTTAAGACCAAGGGATATTAAAATTGCTAATTCCATTAAGGTATACAGATGACTTCCCAATTGTGCAGTATGCTGATGACACTCTTTTGATAATGGAAGCTTGCAGCAGGCAGCTTTTAGCCTTAAAAGCTCTTCTGCACACCTTTGGTTAGTCAACTGGGCTCAAAGTCAATTATTTTAAATCATTCATGGTTCCTATCAATACAAGCCATTCAAAACTTTAACACCTAGCAAGAACCTTCTGCTGTGAAACTGGAAGTCTGCCCTTCACCTATCTAGGACTGCTCCTGAGTCTCACAAAGCCTAGAGTAATTGATTTCTCCCCTTTAGTTTCCAGATGTGAGAGGAGACTAGCTGCAACTTCGATTTTTTTGAATCAAGCTGGGAGACTAGAGGTGACCAACTCAATCTTGACTGCAATGCCAACTTTTTGTATGAGTACTTTTCTGCTTCAGCAATCGGTGATTGAGCAAATAGACAAATTAAGGAAATTATGCCGTTGGAGAGGGGCTGGCATCAATGCCAAACAGAAACCAAAAGCAGCTTGGCCATCAGTTTGCAGAGAAAAGAATGAGGGTGGGCTGGGACTATTGAGCATTAAAACCCAAAATGAGGCTCTCTTGATTAAGCATCTTCACAATTTCTTTAATAGAGACAACACCCCTTGGGTCTCTCTAGTCTGGGAACAATATTATGATTCTGGGAAGTTGCCTGGGAGTACTAAAAAAGGTTCATTTTGGCGAAGAGACATTCTGAAACTTTTGGATAAATTCAAAGGTATGGCAAGAGTTGAGATTAACAGTGGAAAATCATGCTTTCTTTGGCAGGACATGTGGGGCAATGAAATCCTTTCCCAAAAATTCCCAGAGATATTTTCCTTTGCCAAGAAAAAGCATATTGTGTTTGCTGAAGGTCATGCTCAGCTACCATTGCATAGCCTCTTCCATCTCCCCCTGTCTGAACAAGCACATGACCAGATGCTGCAGCTTCAAATGTTACTAGAAGAAATCAATGTAAATGAGGACTCAGACAGATGGATCTATATTTGGAATTCAAGCAAATTCTCAGTGAAGAAAACTTATAAGCATCTAAGTGGCCACATAATCCCCCATCCTGACTTCAAATGGCTCTGGGCCTGTTCTTGCCAGAGCAAGCACAAGGTTTTTTTTCTGGCTTCTTTTAAAGGACCGCCTAAGTACAAGAGAGTTACTCAGAAGGAAGAGAATGATTTTGCAAGATTATAATTGCGTCCTATGCAATGCTACTGTGGAGGAATCTCTGAATCACTTATTCTTAGACTGCCCTTTTGCTGCACAATGCTGGGCAATGATCAATGTTCAGGTTAGTCAACAGCTGAACCCCTTCCAGAACCTGCAAAGCTTCAAAGTTCAACTGGGGGTGCCTTTCTTCATAGAGATCATCATACTGATGTGCTGGGCAATTTGGAAGGCAAGAAATGACCTGATCTTTCGGCAAGAAAATCCAAGTATCCCACTTGCTAAGAGCAATTTCAGGGATGAATTTCAGCTCTTACTTCTAAGGGCGAAAAGGAGTTACTACCCACGTATTGAACAATGGATTGTCAATCTAGCGTAGCCAGGTTTCTAGCAGTGCTTGTACTGCTATTTCTTGTAACTTTTTTTTTGTCTCTTAGGCTAACCTTATGCCTTTGCCTTTGCCTTTGTTCTTACCCTTTTCCTTGTTGTTTTATTTTTGTTTTTGTTTTAAGAGACCGTAGCTCTGTATCTTATTCTTTTGTTTAATGCATTGCTGTAGGGGTGCAAACCCCTCCAGTTCTTTTCCAAAAAAAAAAATTACTAACCTAGGACAGATGGGTTCCTCCAAATTTTTGAAGCCTCTCGAGTCTTAACACCAAGTAGCCATCCATAAACTGCCACTATTGAGTAAACACAGAGGGAACAAACAGAGCTGCTCTCTGTTTTCCTCAAGCTCACGGAATATGACAATAGCCCTATTCATAATGTCAAAATAAATCCCTACTACTTAGTGGGCGAAACAGTGGCGATACACCACTGCTAATTTATCCAAGACACCAGGAACCACACTCCACTTATCACTGTCTCACTTCCAGTTTGTAACACACACGAACCGGCTATGATGACGGGTGTCGTCCTGTCGTTATTTACTCAAGCCACAAACTACAGTATTGAGAAGGATCGTTTGTTAAATCAATTAAAAGGGACATAAAGCCAGTACTTTGATTCAAATAATCCACATAAAAAACAATGATCTTGTTTTGGTTACTTTCTTGTTTGAATCAATGCAGTGGATGAAATACGGGAATCAATAATGAAATCAAATTGGGTTAGTTTATGGTATGTGTTACTTTCTTGTTTTGCTAGCAGATTCGCTGATTGTCCCTGAATCAATGCCGTGGATGAGTTGCAGGTCGATTCTACCTACTGACGGATCACGAAAAAACACAGTATATGATCTTTCGTCTATCATGCATTCCTGAATTCAGTTTAAACGTTAGTTTGGATGCAGAAATAAAGTGTGTTTCTAGTGTGCACTTTTGTGTTCCTACTGTACAAGTTGAACTGAAGTGTAGTCGACTCTTTTTTGTTTCTTTCACAAAACAAACATTAACATTTTCTTTACACCAACAAATTACTCCATGTTACAATGTCATTCCCACATAGACATCCAAACGAAAAGAGAAGACATGCATGCATCTCCGGATCATTTCCACAACTGCAACGCCAACATCTGTGATGCACTGAAACCTTGAATGCTTTGTTTCCACACTAACAAACATGAAACGGACAAGACCACCAGAGACTCGGCGGTAAAGAAAGACCTTCAACTTTGGACAGGAACATCATGCAGAGTCGCCACAAGGTGCAGCTGGTTGCGTCTCCTGGCTGTCCCGCCAACTATCGTCTCCATGTCGAGCTCCTCCGGCCGCATCGTCCCCGGCAGGCTCAATCAAAGTAATAGAGGAGGCGCGCCACGACGAGCTCCAGCGTGGCCATCCCGAACGCCGAGCCAGGGCACATCCTCCTCCCGCTGCCAAACGGCAGGTACTGAAACTCCGTGCCCTGATAGTCAGCCACACTGCTCTCGAACCTCGTCGGCCTGAACTCCTCGGCGTCGTCGCCCCAGTACTCGGGGCTTCTCGCCATCGCCCACGCGTTGATCATCACCCTAGAACCTTCGGTGACCTCAAAGCCGCCGATGTCGCAGGTCTTCCGGCAGAGACGGGGCAGGAGGAGGGGGACGGACGGGTGAAGCCTCAGTGTCTCCTTGATCACCAGCCTCGTGTAGTGTAGCGCGTCCATGTGAGACTCGTGGTGCTGTGGGATGATGTTGTTGAAGGCTGTCCGAACCTCTGCCTGTGCCTTCGCCATGGATTCTGGATGTCTGATTAGCTCTGACATGACCCACTCGGCAGTGGACGAAATTGTCTCTGTCCCTGCTATGAATAAATCCTACACATACATAATTGATAGAAAAACAAACAGCAATCAAAATAATAATTTTGCTGGAAAAAATATTTTGATCAGCTACCCCCTATTTTTTATTGACCCTGCGCCCCCGCTCTCCCTCTCTTCTTCCCATCTCTAGCGACCTTAGAAAAAAGGCAGGCCAGGCAGCGGCGACAGGAGAGACGGCGGCTAGGCGGAGGTAGCGGTGACCCCGCCGGAGTGGGCAGTGGATGGTGATCCTCTTGCTGCTTGGAGAAAAAACAGAGCAGGACTTAGACTTACCACTATGATGGCCTTGATGTTTGCGTTGCCGAAGGGGAAGGCGAACTCCTCGTTGTCCCGGACCCTCAGCATGATGCTCAGAAGATTATCTCCTGCAGCTGCAGACTCATCCTTCCACCTCGCCTCGCACTCCTCGATGATCTTGTCGAACAGCTCATCCAGCTGCCGGTGCGCCCTCCACAGCCGGCGTATCGTCCCGGTCAGGACGTCCACGAACCACAGCGACGGGAAGAGGTCCGAGACGCTGAAACCCGAGGCGTGGCTCAGCACCACAGCCATCACCGACAGGAACTGCTCCTTGCGCTCGCCGCTGCAGCCGTCGCCGAAGGTCGCCAGCCCCGTGATGGAGTTGGTGCACGACACCAGCAGCTTGCCGAGGTTAAAAGTAGCAGCTTCCTCCCCATCACCGTCGGCGGCGGCGGCGGCGCGGATCTCGGCGACCAGGGACATGGTCTCGCTGTCCCTGATGGGCGCGAAGTGCCTGACCTTGCGCGCGCTGAGGAGCTCGAGCACGCAGAGCTTGCGCAGCGCGCGCCAGTAGTCGCCGTAGGGCGCGAAGGCGAGGTCAAGGTGGCCGTAGCAGATGATCTCCGAGGCGACGAGGCTCGGCCGCGACGCGAAGCTGAGGTCGTTGCCCTGGAGAACCTCCTGCGCCGCGGCGGGGGAGGAGATCACCACGGTGTCCACCTGCCCCAGCCGCAGGAGCATCACCGGCCCGTGCCTCTCGGCGAGGTCCCAGAGTGCGGCCTGTGGCTGCGAGGTGAGCATGTGGTGGATGCTGCCCACCAAGGGGAACGCCCGTGGACCTGGTGGCCGCCTCTTCTTGGAGCTGGAGTTGGAGTTGGCTCTCAAGGATGATACAAGGATCAGCAGTGGCACGAGGAACAGGAAGATGGTCAGGGCGGAGGTTCCGCTTATCTCCATGATTGCTGAATAGGAGGATCACACAAACTGTGGCGTCCTTCACGGCTTCACATTTCTTGGAGAAGAACCTCTCGTAGGCGTACGAGTTGACTCAGCCTTATCGTATCGGCTGGATCGCTCATATGTGGCTTATAATCCATGACTTGAATAGTATTTTTCTCTTACACTAAACCAGCTAGTAGTATTTTCAGTCATGACTTATAAATCAATCTAGTCGAAACGAACAGTGAATTACTATTAGATGCGTACTCCACTAGATGCAGCTGGCCCAGTTGCACTTCCGAACTGCTTGATGGAAAATTATTTCGTAATAAAAGTTGTAGCAGTTGATGCTCTCTCGTAAAATAACAACCATCATTGAACATCTGTTACAGAATCGCTACACAACAACCGGTTTTGCCTCCCTCCAACAACCGGTTGTTTTGCCTCTCTTCAGCATGCGATTTTCCTACTCCCTCCGCGGCACGCCCTGGGCCAGCCGCTGCTCCCTCCGTCGTCGCCTCTAGGCCGGCCGCTGCTCCCTCCGCCACCCAGGCCTTGCCTCATCCCGATGGCGTGGGCTCGGACGCTTCCCCTGATCCGGCTCCGGCGGCCCCTTCTCCGCAGCCGGCCATCAAGCGACATTTGTGAACAATTTGATATATATTTCTCTAATATCTATAATTCATAAAAATAATTCATATTTTTTCTAAAAATTTGGCATATATTTGTATGCGAAATAAAAGTTATGTTATCAATAAATTACACCACTCTGTCTAATAAATTATATTGAAGAAATGATTGTAAATATAGTAATAAGATATTTGTAACTATAGTTAAAAGGTATCGTAAATGCATGGGCAAAAATCAGGTGGCAGGAGTGACCAAAACATTCGGTTGTTGTCTAGACAGATCCAATAGCAAAACTATACTGCAACTAAGAAGTAGAAAAGGTGTTCGATCATAGGTCCTGCAGGACACCAAGCATAGCGCGGCGCGGCCTGCACATGGCCTCAAGAGGAGCCGCCCTCGGCAGCATGAGCCCGCCTGCCCCTTCGGCCATGTCAACCTGGGCGGCGCCGACCCTGTCCCAGTCGAAGCACTGGATGAGGGTCCCCAGAACCAAGCCCAGCGTCCGCAGCGCGAGCGTCTCGCCGGGGCACTTGCGCCTTCCCATGCCGAACGGGATCATGAGCTCCTCTGCCTCTGCCGTCGCGGCTCCGCCTCCGCCCCCCTCGAACCGCTCCGGCCTGAACGCGCCCCGGTCCGCCCACGCCGTCGGGTCCCTGTGGATGGCGTAGGCGTTCACGAGCAGCATCGTCCCTCGCGGGACGTGGTGGTCGCCGACCGAGCAGTCTACGGTGGACTCGTGCGGGACCAGCAGCGGCACGGCGGGGTACAGCCGGAGGGACTCGATGATAATGCACTGCAGGTAGCCGAGGCGCGGCACGTCGGCGGCGCTGAGCAGGCGGGAGCTCCCCACGGAGGCGTCTATCTCCGCCTGCGCTTTCTTCAGGACCTCCGGGTGGTTTAGCAGCAGGGACATGGCCCATTCCGCCGCCGTCGCTGTCGTCTCCGTCCCGGCACTGAACATGCTCTGCAAATCAGCATGGCAGAGGTCAGAGGATGACTCGATCGACGCTCATGTCGGTCAGGAAGAAACGGCAAGCGTGACAATGACAAGAAGACGGAAGCACTGACGGAGCACAGAGACATGATCACGGTGTCAGTGTATATCTCCGGCCCTGACTTCTGCAACGAGAGCAGCACGGCGATCATGCTCTCCTCTTCGCCCTCGCGGCGGCCGTCGTCAAGCTCAAGCCTCCGCCGCTCGGCGCCGACGAGCCCCTGCAGGAACGCGTCTCTTCTCCTTACGGCGGCCATGATCTTTCTCTTCACCCCGAACACGTCGAACCGCCGCAGCAACGGGAAATAGTCCCACGTGTTGGCCGCGCCGACCAGCGACGCCATGACGTCGAGCATTTGCTTGAACTCGTTAGCCTCCGGCGTCATGTCCGCGTCCACGTCAGCGTCGTCCTCCTCGCGCGACGTCCTATTACTGGTCCGCGCGATGGTCTCCATCACGGCGCCGAGGATGAGGCCGAACAGCCTCCGCTTGAGCTCCACCCTCGCGGCGCCACTGGGGGCCGCTGCGGCGGCACGGTGCATCCTGCGCACCGCCGCGCGCACCTCGGCGGCGACGGCGCCGGACATCATGCGGCCGACGCGGCGCGCAGACAGGAGGTGCACCGTGGCCACGCGCCGGAGGTCGCGCCAGTAGGCGCCGTACGTGCACGTCGGGAGCGTGGTGCCGCCGAAGGTGACGAGGTCCAGCGCGGCGAACCGCGGGCAGGTCGCGAAGCACAGGTCGTGCTCGGTGAAGCACTCCCTGGCGCGCGCCGCGGAGGTGACCACCGTGGCGTCTCGCGAGCCCAGGCGGAGGGAGAGCACCTTCGGGCCGTGCCGCGGCGAGGCGCGCCCCAGCACCGCGTGGACCGGTTCTGGAGGAGGTGGAGGTGGCCGAGGACCCGGAGGGAGGGCAGGCTCGGTGGTTTGTTCTTGCCATTGATCTTGCTGCTGCGACGGCGACCAAGGACAAGGAGGACGTTGAGTGAGACAACGGCGAGGAAGGAGAGGACGACGACGGCGACGTAGGGCGTCACCATGTTGACGGAACTGGGAGTGAGGCGGCCTCGACTCGGCTATGGTAGCCCAGTAGACTTTCATGGAATCAGATTATCAGAGCCTTAAAACAAAGAGTCTGTCCACTCAACAACTATGTGTTTCAGCAAAAAGTAGCACATGGTTGTTTGCTAGCTATAAAACACATAATTTGTAACGGAGAAAAAACCATGTATTTTAGCACACGAGCTAGCACATGGTTGTTGGTTGCTTGTATAACACATGATTTCAAGAGAGAAGAAACCATGTATTTTAGCACAAGGTAGCATATGTTTTTAAAGAAGGTCCACTTAGAGGAAATCTGTTATAATTTCTGTACAACCAAAGTTGGCCTATTAACTAAAATGACATAATGGCCCATTTAACAGCAGCAGCCCATAAGAGAAGCCCAAAACCATGAATACATAGGAATAAATTACAAATTGACCCATTTAATAGTAGCAGCCCATAACAAAAGTCCAAAACTATGAATACATAGGAATATAAAGACTTGGGAGAGAAGCCAACCAGAAATAGATCTGCGTGGGGAAAGCCTCTGGTCTGCTCACGTAGGGCAGGGAAAAGGGGGAGACATCAGATTGCAAAGAAGAACAGAAAATTTCAAGAAGAAGAACTAGAAGACTGATCCATACATCATCAGCAAAGGTTAGTATCCTAATCTTTTGAATCTACTTTCTGAAAAAGCAACAAAAAAAAAAACAATAGCAACTTAGATCAAAGACTAGAAGAATGTAGATCCATGGGAAACTAGTGCTGAATCTCTGTGTGTGAGGCATGAAACGAGACAACGACATGAGTGTGATAGAGACCTCTCCTGACTCTTTTTGAGAGTCTGTCTCCTGACTGACTAGTGCTGAATCAGATGGCCATGCATGCATTACCCATTAGCACTACAATTAGTGGTAGCCAGGCACATCAACAAGCCACTCTAAATCATGTCCCTATTCATCAGAGAACTACTAGCTAGCTAGCTCTAGTTGCATAAGAGATGAAAAATTGCAACTAAGGTACTGGTGCACACCTGAAAACTGAACAAGCAACTCCTTAGGAAAATTGAAGATGCAGAGCAGTAGCTTCTAGAACTCAGGGCAAAACTAAAAACAGCAGCCAAGCTGCTGCTGGGACTGCTGTGTTGTTCCTGCACAAGACAAGCATAGCCACACCACTCAGCAATCCTCAACTAATCCTCAACTAAAATTACAAATATATCTCTTATGCATTTGCTATATTACTATTGTAATTAAATTACAGAACAAAAATAAGGAAATTGCACATTTGACATAGTGCAACTTGTACTTGCTGCTAATGCAATTATACTATACATGTATACAATTTAAAGATCCGGCTCATGCAACTTGTACACGCAAAGCAGGGCAAAGGGGCAGAGATCAGATCAAAAGGAACCACAAACCATTTGAATCCAATCTCCTTGTGTGTGTTAGATGCATGGAATATGTAATGATGAGAAACCTTCTAAGCTGTCAAAACATAAAATCTGGATGTTATAACAAAACATGAATCTAGAAAGAAGAACAAGTCGAGGAAATGTCAGAGGCACAATATCAGTTTCAGAATTATGAGGAAATGATTCACCAAGAAGAAAGCAACAATGATGTAAAATTACTCCTAATTTAAAACAGTTGACACAAACAATAAATAAATGAGAACTAATGGCTTCTTCGTTTTCTTGTAGGTTTCAATTGCTTCCCTTATGCAACTAATACAAGCACCAGTCAAGTTTGATCAACTACTTGAGGTAAGAAACACAATTCAATGATGCAATGAAAAGAAGAAGAATCTGATAAAAAGCTATATAAGTACTCAGCTGCTTACTTTTTTTTATGAAGCAGAATAATATGTATGTCACAACAAGTAGATGTGATGATTATCCAACATCAGTGAAGTCACAAGAAGCAATTAAGGAAGTGCAGTCAGCTCCTTACCAAATATTTACAGGCACAAATTGTTCCAAAGTGACCTTTCAAATACCTCTGAGATACAAAAAGGTGAGCAAAATTATTGCTTAGAATCAAAAATACCAATATAAAAGGTTGTTTTTGACTAAAATATATTTTAATGCAGGGAGGCTACACTGAACTAATGATGGAACAGATCAGGAACTCTTAGGAAGATAATCAGACTGACTGGAATACATAGGTAAAATTTATAATAATAGTACACAAAAATTACAATTCAGACATATGCAAATTACACACATGTACAATGTAATTTCAGCATAACAGTACTTTAATTTTAATGCTTCATTATAAACTGTGCAGTGACATGAAGAGATGCAAGGATCATTAACAAAGATGATACTTGGAAATGACAGGAATGAGGTAAAACTATATTATATATGCTTGTCAAACTAGTTGTGTTATATTATAAATGGTAACCATTCTCATTATCAAACAAATAAAATAGAATATGAGACTTGAAGATCTAGATGGAATCTTTGAACCACAAACTGACTGGCCAATATCAGAGTCAAGGCTGTCATATGAGGTAGATACAGACAGCTGAGCCAATTTGATTACATTTATAAGCAATACAAATATATACTGGCATCAAAGTAAAACTTATCTTTGCAAAAACAGGATGGAGAAATGGCAATCGTCGCTGATGATGATGGAGCAATGACAAGCATAGCTGATGATGATAGATCTGAAATTCAACAATACCATTGGCAAACTAATGTATTCAATAACATGGATATTGATGAGGTACATAAAAATGATCTCTTCAACTATTTCAGTCCACACTGAAAAAAAATATTTGTATTATAAATGACATTACTCAGAAACTAAGACTGCTGCTAATATATTTACAGGTGCAGCATGAAAATCAAGATGACCAACCAACAATGGGAGAAAATAACTTGAGGATCATAGCAACAGAACCAACAAGTTCAGATATTACATCAACTATAACAGATGATAATGGGCATGTAAATGGTAGCCAGGAACTGACGGAGGAAGAGATTGAAGAATTCATAAAAAATGAGCAGGTTGCAGCATCTGAAGGCAACAATGCACCAATCAACAACAAGTACACCCCACAACTATCGATGGAATTTAAGACTAGGAATGATGCTCACCATTTCTTCAACTTCTATGTATTCCTAGCCGGATTTCAAATTGCCATAAGACATACGACAAGAACTCAAAGTAAGAAGAGAAATAATGAGGTAGTCAAAGTGACAATAAGATGCACTCATCAAGGAAAAGAAAAGGAACCAAAGTGTTTAGAGCAAGAAGAAGCTAAAGTAGACAAGGATGTTGGAAAGCAACCGGTAAGGAGAAGGAAAACAAATGTTCAGCAGAAGTCAGATTATCCTTGTGTTATGATGGTGAAAGAAGAAGAAGGTGTATGGAAGGTTAAAACTCTTGATTTGGAGCATAATCATGAGCTATGCCCTAGAGACAGGGATCTGCTATTTTCTGGTCACAAGTATATGACAGAAATAGAAAAAGGACTTATCAAGACTCTGAACGATAACAATATCCTGACTAGGAAGATGGTTTCTATTCTATCGTATCTGAGAGGGGGGCTTATAGCTCTACCGATGAAAAAGAAAGATATCAGCAACTATAGGACAAGACTGAACAGAGAAGTTAAAGGATCATATATGACCCAAGTACTGGATTATTTTAGAAATAAACAAACTGAGGACCCGTCTTTCTTTTACAAGTTTGATTTAGATGAGGACAAGAGAGTGAGAAACTTGTTCTGGATAGACTGTTCTTCTATGAAATATTATGCAGATTATGGAGAATGTGTAAGTTTTGACACGACATATATGACCAACCGATACAACTTACCTTTTGCACCATTTGTTGGAATCACAGGACATGGGCAAAGTTGCCTTTTCGGATATGCTTTCCTGCATGATGAGATAGTGAACACTTTTAAGTGGGTATTTCCAACTTTCCTTGAAGCAATGGGAGGAAAACACCCTCAAATGATCATCACAGACCAAGACATGGCGATGAAATCAGCAATAGAGCAAGTCTTCATAAACACAAAGCACAGAAAATTGCTTGTTCCACATAAAGACCAAATGCTACAATAAGAATGTCAAGGTCTTTGCGGCAAACGAAGGACTATATGAAGACTTTGAAGATATAGTGAACAATAGTCTAACAGTGGAAGAATTTGAGCGACTTTGGAAGAGAATGATTGAGGAAAGAAACCTTTAAGGGAATCACTACTTTTTCAAAATGTGGGAAATGAGGAAAAGGTTTATCCCAGTCTACTACAAAAATAACTTCTTCCCTTTTGTATAGACCACATCCAGGAGTGAGGCAACAAATGCGAGGTTCAAAGACAATGTAGGGCCAACATATAGTATCATTAGCTTTCTGAAAGAGTACAATAGGATTGTTGATACCATAAATCGAGCAGAAAGGCTAGAGGACAGCTATAGCAAGCAGAAAAGGCCAAAGGAATTTATATTCGGCTAAAGAATAGAGCAGCAGGCACAACAGCTATAAAACAGAAACATATTCAAAAAGTTCCAGCTATAATTGAAGGCAACATCAAGGCTGAACTACAGGGAAACCGAAGATGGGAAAACATTTGAGGTGTGGCAAAAAAGTAACCAGATTCAGGAGGTTCATAGGTTCAGGAAATATATAGTAAACACTAACCTAGCAGAAGGCGAAGAAGAATTTACCTGCATATGTGCAAAATTCAGCAAAGATGGGATACTCTGCTCTCATATCCTGAAAATAGTCATTGAAAAGGAAATCACCATAATTCCAGACAAATATTTCTTAGACAGGTGGAGAAAAAAAGATATGAAGGTACATGTTGAAAGACAAGAAGAAGAAACAGTTGCAACAAGCTCATTGTTGAGATTCAACATATTATCCAGGAGATCAACAATACTGAATTTAAAAGGATCAAAAAATGAGAAAGCCATGGAATACCTTATGGCAGAATTTGACAAGATGGAAATCAATTTAGATAGAATGCTATCTACTTAGCAAACAGGTGAAGCACAAAATGACCAGCAAGAAAATGAAGAAGGAGAAACTATAGCA